CCGGCCCTCTGCGGCCCTGAGCCGCTGCCGGCCCCCCGGGCCGGGGTGGGGGCCGGGGCGGGGGCCGCCGGGCGGTCCCTGTCAGCCGGCCCTGGGCCGCGGCGCCGGTCGGGCCTGGGGTCCCCGGGCGGTGTGTGTGTGAAGGACTGGGAGCGCTTCTTGCGGGGCGTGTCCTCGTCAAAGAACTCGACGACAAAGGCCTGCTGGTTGTGCAGCAGCTCCTGGGGGTCCCGCCTGATCTGCCTCTGCAGCCGCGCCTGCTCCCCGCTGGCCTCCCCGGGGGCCGCAGCCGCGCCGGCCGCGGGGTCCCCCGAGTCACTCTGGGTGCCATCCTCATGCTTGTGGCCTGGGGGTGAGGGAGCGCAACTTGTCCGGCTGAGGGTGGACACACAACCACAGGGTCGGGGGTAGGGTCCCGGCGCCCCATCGGGAACGACACGCGAGGCCCAGCTCGCTGGGCGCCCCCCAGCGAGTGCCACGGGGCCCCAGGCGGCTCGGCGGGCCAGGCGCACTCACCCTTCAGGGTGCGGGTGTGCACGGGCAGGTCACTCTTGGCGCTGTGCCGGTCGTCGCCGAGGCCGGCCCGGTGCAGCAGGCTGGGGTCATTCTGCACCAGCCAGTCAGCCACCTTGGTCTCTGCGGAGACCGCCTCGGAGGGCGCGGCCTCCTTGCTGGGGGGCCGCCGCGGGCGCAGGGAGAACTTGGTGACGTGGTCCCTGATCTTCACCTTACCGGGGCTGCCGTCATCAAACTCGATGGTGAAGCAGGCGTGGCTCTGCACCACGGGGGCCGCCCCGCCCCGCCCGCTTCCACGTCCCTGGGGGGTGGCTCGTGCACCGGCACCTCCAGGGCCCGCGGTGGTGGGGTCTCCTTGGTGGGGATCTCGAAGTAGCTGGGCTCCCGCCGGAACGAGTAGCCCTGAGGTTCCGCGGGGGCCCGGAAGCCGGCCACCGTCCCTGTGAGATCCCCGTCCTTCGGTGCCAGCTCCTTAGGCCGCTCTGGGGAGCGGGGGGACACATGCTCAGGTGGGGCCACACGTGGGACCCGCACCCACCCACCTCCGCCAGGACCACCGGCTCCGTCTCCCTCCAGACCAGGCTGCCCTCCAGGGCTTACCCGTGCAGGGCTCGTCCTGGCGCGGGTACTCGGGCAGGGTGCCCTCATCCTCACCCCACCAGGAGGGCTGCCCGTACAGGGGGGTGCGGTAGGCTGCTGCCTCTGCAGAGGGAATTTTGACCCTGGGTCACTGGCCCCAACACAGACCGCAGGGGGACCAGAGCTGAGGAAGATGCTAGGGTCTGGAGGTGGCCCAGGTGTCACCTCCGGGCTGGAACCTGCAGCCACCCAGCCAGCCCTGGCCGGTCGCCAACCGCTCTGGTCCTGTTCCTGCATCCATGGCAGGAGACAGCTGCAGAATTGCCTCTTCCATCCCCGCCTGGGCCTCCCCAGGGGGTGGCTGTTCCAGGGGAAGCTCGTCCCTGGGGCAGCACCATCCTCGGCGCCCCGGTCCTGGGGCAAGCCACCCCTTCCATCCTGCCCAGGCCTCTGCCCACAAGGCCTGCCCAATGGAAGGACAGAAGGACAGCCGTGAGCCCAACCCAGGGCTGGCCTCTCTCCAAGGTTCTGCAAACGGTTCAGGCCACAAATGGGTGACCTGGGGGCTGAGAGCCACTGTCGTCTGACTGGAGCACACAGGCGGTGTGCGTGGGTGACTATTCCTACAGGCATGCAGGGCTGTGGGCACACACAGGTGAGTGTGTCTACAGAGATAAGACAGGTGTAGGACATGTAAGATAGATATTTCTACAGGAGTGCGGGTACCCGGGTGGGGGTACCCACAGGGGTGTGGAGGCACAGGGGCGTGCAGGTCCCTGAACTCACACACAAGCAGGCCTGTGCTGCGGCTGCCGTAGGGTGGGGTAGGGTGGGGTAGGTTGGGGTGGGGTGAGGTCGTGCGGGGGGGGAGGTGTGTGTTGGGGGGTGAGGGTGAAAGGATTGCTGGACAACGTGGTGTGTGGGGGCCACATGGAGCGGGGGCCTGTGTGTGCTCGGGGCCACGGCAGTGCCGTCCTACCTGCTCCCGGTCTCCGGTCCCCCCCGCTCAGGCCTGGGGGTTGAGGACTCACAGTGCGGCGTGTGCCCTGGCAAGGCCTCGCCCCTCTTGGGCGCCGGGCTCTTGACGCTCACCTGCAGCTGGCTGGTGTACTTCTCGTGCTGTGGGCAGTGGGCCAGGGTGAGGGGGGCTGCCTGGGGAGGACACCCCCACCTGGGGTGCCTGCCTCTCCTCCCCGCTCCGTCTGGAGTGGACCCAGCACTGTATGTGCACGTCTGTCCATGCATACACGTGTGTCCGTGTGCGTGCAGGGGCCCCTGGCTGAGGTCGCAGTCAGCAGAGCAGGGCTCACACTGGCCCTGCCCCTCACTGGCGTGTGACTCTGGGCAGCCCCACCATGCTCCATGTTGCCCACAGTTACTTTGGGAAAAGGGGCTATGGCTGCCCCCCACAGGGCTTCTGGGAAATGCTCTGGCAGGGCCCCCAAGTGCTCCATGACTCCCGCACAACAGAGCAAGGGGAGAGGAGTCACCCCACCAGCCGTGACCCCCCCATTGGGACCCTCAAGCCAACCAGCTGAAGGACGGGCATCTAAGGCACCCCTCACCCAGGACCTCCCACGAGGCTGGCCCCAAAGGCTACCCACTGCCGGCCTCCAAACAGGCCCTCCTGCCTGCTGCTAGCCACCCCAACCCATGGTGACCTGATGCCAGCTAGGCCCTCTTGGCCCCGCTTTCTGCTGGGCACAGCAGCCTCCTCTGGGGCTCCAGCCGCACCCAGTCTGTGGCTGCATCAGCCTGGGGGGTTGGGGGGTGACTATCTTCCCCACCTGCCCGACCGGGCCATCCGGTGAGGCAGGCCAGAGCGGGCTGACTCACGGCACCACAGCCAGGCCAGGGGCAAACAGACAGCAGGAAGCAGAGGGCTGTGGGGACAAGGGGATGCCAGGGGCCCCCAGCTGAGCGCCAGCACTGACCCTGAGTGCCTCCTCGGGGACACGGTGCTGCACGCGCTCCAGCACATACATGTTGGAATGTGACAGTGTGTCAAGGAGAACAGGAGGTGGGGGAGCCAGGCGGGGCCCTCGGACAGCGGCCTCAGCCGGAGATGAAGGGACCACTTCCAGGAATGGCTGATGAAGAGGGAACATGGCCGGGGATCGGGAGGCAGGTACCATGCTGCCCACACACAGCCACGCATGCACCGGCACATGTCCAGACTGTAGGGACAGTCTGTAGGCTGTGCAGCCCCCACTCAGGGGCAGGACACAGGCTGATCCAGGTGACAGCACACAAGTGCCCCAGGGCTGGGGTGCACTGTCCACCCCACTCACAGCCAGGGAGCCCAGCTCCGGCTCCCATCCCAGAGCACCCCACCGCCCTGGCCCACAAGTTTCCAGGGGTGGGGAGGGCCTCAGCCAGTGGCTGGGTCCAGCTGTGCCAAGGCGAGTGCGGGTCCAGGCGGACAGAGGAGAAGATGCTCTGCAGCCATGCATGCCGGTCTGCGACGGCCCAGGGCAGAGGCACAGGCCCCTCGCAGCTGCGTTCTGAGTGCAGAACACCACACCCGGGCAGCCCCAGAAGCGCTGGGACTCCCGGTCCCAGGCGGGCTCTTTAGCTCCTCGGACCAGCGGGCAGGCAGAAGGTGCCGAAGCTGGGGCCTTGGCTGGGGGGGCAGGTGGCAGGAGCGGAGCCCAGGTTCACCCTCGCCACCTCTCATGCCCTCGGGCCCCAGCTGTGCCCACAAGGCCCCACCCGCTTCCGAGGATGATGCGGGTGGAGGGCGAGGCCAGGAGCGGGGCGCGCGCCACCAGGAAAGGATATCATAGCCAAACCGGATGACGTCATTGAGCTTCAGCGTGACGTACTTCTGGTCTGGGATGCGCACGTCGTTCACAAACGTCTGTGGGGGAAGCAGGTGGCGCGGCTGAGCTGGCGCGGGCGGGACAACCACTCTGGAGCCCCCACAGCGGACCAGCGGGCCCTCCTGTGCTGCGCTGGGCCTGGCACCATCCCTCCAGCACGCGAGCACCCTGCCCCATGCCCCAGGGCGACCACAGGGCAGACGGCTGCTGAAAGGACCCCTGGCACCCAGGGGCCCGACAGAGCCCCTCAAGCACAGAACCACGGATGCCCTGGTGAAACGGACCCTTTCCCTCATCCTCACAGAGCCTGGCGCTGGCCCCACCATGCCCGCGGGAGCAGCACGCAGGGTGGCCCTGGGGCACGGCTGCTCAGGCTGCGCGAGGCTCTGACGTCGACCCCCACACAGGCTGCCTGCTCACAGGGGCATCGAAGTGCCAGCCCCTGGAAGCCCCTTTTCCCCCATCAGGGCGTTCTTGTCAGCCGGCTGAAGACACCACACTATGGTCAGACGAGTGCAAGGCCCCAGCACACTGAGAGCCTCTGGGCAGCCAGGGTGACAGGGGAGACGAGTGTGGCTCAGCAAGGCAGCTGTGCCCAGAGTCCGGCAGGAGAAACAAGAAGCGTGAGGACTCGTCACAGGACAGAGGAGGGGGCCTTGTCACAGGAGGGTCTCTGGCGGCAGAGGAGGAGGGCGGCTCCCCGGGGAGGTGCCGCAGCCAGGGGCCTGCGCACGCAGAGATGGGCATGGAGCAGAGCGGGGCTGGGAGAGCCGGGGACCGCAAGCTCGGTTTGGACACGCTGGATGTAAAATAGGAGTCTGGGCTCTGAGCAAGGAGCAGAGGACAGCAGTCCTGACGTGGGGACAGCTGTGCGGCTGAACTTGGGGTCACATGGGCCGGCAGGAGTGGGCCCTGCCCTGGGCACATCACAGGTCTCTGAGGAACTGGCCCCACAGGGTCGAGGTGCAGCCCGTGTGGCAGAGGGGAGGCCCACTCCCTTGCAGCCCCATTTGGGCAGGGCTGCTTCCTCTGACGGGGGGTGCTGAGGGAGAAGGGGGCTTGGGGGCAGAGCCAGCAGAGCCTGAGACCCTCAGCTGGGGGCACCCTGATGGGGACCCGGCAGATGGGGTCCAGTAGCTGGTGGAGCGCTCTCACTGCAGAAGCAGGGCTGGCCTGACGCTGCTGTGGGACCCCTGCTCAGGAATGGTGGGGGTGGCCAGACTGCACTGGCGGGGAGGGACACGGAAGGGCCCTCCTCAGCCCAGTTAAAGGGGCTGGAGCCTGGCGGTCTGTCTTCTTCCTGAAACAACGTCCTGGGGCAGGGGACCAAACGCAGAAAGGACAAGACACCGAGACAGACCCTGGTCGCCGGAGAGGACGCTCCCGTCCTTCCTGGCCAGTCTCCACCCCAAACATGAGGTTCCTCTCATCTGATCCCTCTCTGCTCCTGCAGCCAGGACCACCTTCTGGTCACCTCCCTGTGCCTGCTGCCCCCAACTCACAAAAGAGCTCACATGCGCCCCCAGGACAGAGTACCCCAGCACAGCCCCACCCACCTCAGGAGCCCCAGTTCCAGCCTGCAGGTGGTCCCAGTGCCTCCCCTGCCCACCCAGAAAGCAGCCCCACCATCGGAGGCCCTGCTCAGCAGGAGCCCTCCCAAGGAGGCCACGGGAGCAGGAGGTCCTGGAGCGAGCTAGGTAGGGGCAAAGCAGAGGGGAAGATCATGGAGGGGGCGGAGCCACAGGGGGGCAGAGCCGGAGTGGGGATGGAGCTGGTGCGGGGCCAGCACAGAGGGCGGGGTCATGGAGGGGTAGGGCCATCAAAGGGGTGGGGCCATAGGGTGAGGCAGCATAGAGGGAGGGGCCGTTGAGGGGCGGAGCCAGCACAGAGGGCGGGGTCACGGAAAGGAGCAGGAGGAGGGGTGGGGCCCCTGCCGAGCCGAGTAGGCAGGGGCCGGGGCCAGCACGCGGCTAGAGCGCTCACCCCGTTCAGGCTGCCCAGGTCCTTCACCCAGTGCTCGTCCCTGTCCTGGTCGTAGTTGATGACGGCGTGCTGCTTGTCCACACTGCGCGACTGGGAGACACAGAGGAGGCCATGCTGGCTAGGTGGCCCAGGAAGCAGAGGCACCCCCAGGAGGCCCCGCCCACACTCTCTCCCATCCCACCCAATAAGACCACAAGACCAACACCAGGCCTAACACCCACGAGGTCCCACCCACGGCTCCACATCTCGAGTGCATGTGCCCCAGGAAGCACGTCCAGGCCTGATCCTGCCAGCCGACCCGACCCGACCCGACACAGCCACAGGCGGCAGGGATTTGCCAAGATCCCAGGGCCGGTTCCTTCTGTCCCATGCTGCCACCAGGGCCCCTCCCTTTGTGACCAGCCCTCCACTGCACCAATAGGCCAGTACCCCCTCCCATCCCAGCCATGGCTCCTGGGTCAGCTGTGGAAGGGGCTGGGAACCCTCTGGTCATCTGGGACACACTGTTCACTCCCAAGGACAGGCACGGGTGGCCTTGCAGAGTTGGCAGAGCCCAGAGGGAGGCTCAAAGGGCTGGGATGCTCTGGGGGAGGCCTCCCCGCCCAGCCAGCCCCACAGCACACACAGCCTCTTGGAGTGATGGACACATACACACATACACATGCGTGATGTGACTCAGGCCCCACTGCCTAACACGCGCATGCACAGGGCTCATACGTGAGCACACCCTGCCACCCAGCTGTCACACACATGTGCTCACATGTGGGTACTTCCACCCTGACCTCTTCCAGCTCTGCTCTGGCCACCAGCCTACCGGGGACCCCACCCCAAGGACGGTCACTCTCGCACACGGTCAAGCTGGAGGGCCACATTCCGCTTGCCGAAGTATCGTCAGCACGGCCGCCTCACCCGGCCGAGAGGCCTGTGTCCCAGCACAGAGCACGTCACCACTGCCATCTCTCTGATTCTCTCCACCTGCCCACCCCCTCCAGCACCATCCAGAAGTGACCAGTTTCTAGGGGAGGCCCCAGTACCTGCCCCCAAGGACTGGAGGCTCCCAGGGCTGGGCCCCCTCCCTCCATGAGACCAGAGTGCACAACAGGGTGGGGGTGGGGGTGGACATGGGCTCTGGCCCAGCCCTGCCCCTACCCAAGGTCACTCTGCTTGGCCAAGGCACCAGGCAGGACCTGGAAAGGAGACTACTGTGGGCAGGGCTCCTGGGAGGCTGCAGCCCTTGGCCTGAGGTGGCTGGCTGGACTCACTGCTGCTGCTACAGTGGGGGCGCTGGGGGGGGTGGCAGGGCCCACAGCTCATCCTGCCACGGACCCTTGGTCCTCTGGAAGGGACCAGGGCTGCAGGGGCAGCTTCCAGGGCAGTGCAGAGTCTGCAGGACCAGCCAGGGCCTCCCTGACACAGAGACCCATCTGGAGCCACCTGCCCTGGTGCCACCTGCATGGGCCCGGGGATGTGTAGGGCCTCTTCCCTGCCTGTGAAGTTCCCAGAACTGGTCCTGGTGGGGCTCCTGGCACCAACCCACCTGCCTCCAAAGTGATGGGTCTCTGGCGAGGTAAGTCAGACCCTGAGACCGACTGCCCCCATCCTGAATTCTTCATCCAGAGTTGGCACCCACAGCTGGACAGCTCCTGGCCATCCTGGCTGCAACCTGAGCCCCAGACACCAGGTACCACCTCCTCCACTGGACTCCCCTCCTGTTCTCGATGCAGGCCTGCCCAGCGCTCACCTCCTCCAGAAGCCAGCCAGTGACCTTCAGCTGCAGCCTCTCCCACTGGCCCTGGCCCAGGCAGGGTTGGGCAGGCACACTGGGGGAAACTGCACCCCCTTCTCTGGGCCTTGGGCTCCTAGCTGCAGGCGCTGGAGGAGCTTCCCCAGAACTCAGCCCCAGGGCACAGACAAGAATCAGCCACTCTCCAGGGAGCCCGCGTGCTCTGGCTCGCCCCACCTCAGGCCAGGCAACTGCCTCCTTGGCGGCCCCGTGGATCAGCATTCCTGAGAGCCCAGCCAGGCAACTGGGAGGACGGGAGCTCACCTCTTTCCGTGCCCTCTCCGTGCACAGCCAGTTGCGTAGCTCAGCCCTGCCTGACACCTGGATGCTGCTGGGCCAAAGGGATCCCCCAAACCCCAGGCCAGGAATCGAACCTCCCAGAATGCAGACCTGAAACAGCGTTGAGAAGGCCGCACGGGGCACCGCACACCAGGATGCAGCGGGACGCAGGCTGGCCCCAAGCTCTGCCCAGCCCAAGGCGGACGGGGTGCGAGCACAAGGGCGCCCCATCCCTCAGGTGTGGACACCTCCTTCGCTGAGGAGCAGCCCACCAGAGGGGCTTCTGCATCGGCCCTTCCAGCAGGAACAACTCCACTCCCTCTCTAAGCCTCGGACCCCCGGCTCCTGCAGACACCCCTGGCTGCCTTCCAGCAGCTCAAGCCCAGCCCCTCCCTCCCTGCCCACCTGGCCCCACGCCTCCTTCTGGGAAGACCTCCAGCCAAGCCCCCAGCTGCTCCAGCCACACTCCTCAGCCCCAGGCAGTAAGTCTCACTGGCCTTCCTCCTCCATACCCCCAAACCCCCCATCCACCCGCCCGCCTCCTTCTCCAGCCCACCTCCTTCCCCACGGCTCCCCTCTCCTGTCCTCCCAGCCCCCACCTGGCCCTGCCCCTCCCTCCTCTGCTGAAATCTGCTGGGGCTCCCAGGTCGTGTCACATGAGCCACAGGCCCTCTCCAAACCCCCCTCCACCGACTGCACCAGCCGGCCCACTGGCCAGACCGCTTTACAGGCTTTGGAGGTGCTATGCCCTCTCCTGGACCTTGGTTCTCTGCCCAGAACCACCCGCCATCCCTGTGCCCATTTTCCCTCTCCCAGCAAGATGCCCCACCCTGCCCACCCCACCCACCTCCTGACTCCCTGGACTTGGTACGGCGCCCCGCCCCCATTTGTACCCAGAGCCTGGGCTGCCCGGCCCACTCCCAGCACAGCCCTCCTCAGACTGCAGACAGCACCAGGGCTTGCTGGAAACAGGCGGGGAGAAGCCCCACCTCCAGGCACCTCCCTCCCAGCCCAGAAGCAGACCTCAACCCGCTGAGCCCAGGTGATCTGAGCCTGGAAGCCCACTCAAGAGAGGTGGAGGCAGCCCCTCGGCCCGGGTCTCAAGACTTAAAAGGATATAGACCAGGCCCCATGGAAAGCGGTCCGGCCACACAGGAAGACGAGTGGGTGAAACAGACGTGTAAAATGGTCCTAAGAAGCTCCAAACACAGGGATGTTTTGGAAAAGGATCCAGTTGTTTGCACTCACTTTTAAACGAAATAGGCATGTGCTTCCAAAACGTGTCTGATGCCCTCCACGGGTGAGAGCCTGCCTGGGACCCCAACGCCTAGGGCTCTGAGCATCCCTCCTGCAGCTCACACCCAGCGCCACCCAGGCAGGGCCACAGCACACGCAGCAGGTGGGCTCAGCCCGAGCGTGTGCAGGGGTGGCCAAGCTGGGCCTCTCAGGGCAGTGGTTTCCGGGTGAGGGTGCGGTCAGATGAGTCCCAGCTGTCACACGCCTGCCCAGGGCAAACTGGGCAGAAGCAGAGGACACCTCACCACAAACATACACACCGTGCACACACAGACGCATGTGTGCAACTCCCACACACGCGCACACATGCACATGTGCACCTGTGTGTATGTGTGCACGCACGTGCACAAGTCTGCTGGTGCACACAGCCACACATGCCATGCACCAGAGCCCTGCCTCCTCCTCTCCCTGAACAGAGGCAGCCCTTCTTTGGCCTGGTGCCTCTGCTAGCACCCCCAATGCTGCCCCTTTGCCCTGGCTCTCACCACATCACCGTGCCCAGTCAGGCCCACGGCCCCGGTCCCACCCCTAGTGCCACCTTCGGGTTTGTCTCCTGGGGGATCATCTGGTCCTGCTTACATGTTTGTGGCCAGCCCAGCCCCTCCCTGGAATGGAGACCCCGGGAGGCAGGGTCTCTAACACGGAGCGCAGTGACTGCTGAGTGACACCCATGGGAATGAACACAAGGATGTGCAGAGGGCAGGCCCAAGCCCTGTGGGAGCACAGCATGGGGGGGGTGGGACAAGCTGGCTGGCGAGGTCGGGGCAGGCACGGGTGCCTGACTGCAGGGGCTGGGACAGGTGTGCTGGGCCCCGCAGAGCCAGGGCAGCTGGGGAAAGCCAGAGGCCTAGCAGGTGGGGGTAGCTGTCCGGCAGCCGGGCTGGGTGCAAGTGGCCCTCGGGGGTGCTCGCGGCATGAATGAGGGAGAGGGACGTTCAGGTTTGGCCCCTGCACACCTGGCGGGGACATTCACCGCCTGGGACTCTGGCGGGGGTCTGGCTGCCTCTGAGATGCCCCCAGGCAGCTGATGAACGCAGGAGGCTGGGGACAGAGTGGCGAGGGACACCCTGTGAATCATATGAGCAGAGGTGGAAACCGAGGCTCTGGGTGTGGACAGACCCTCCAAGGAGAGGGCAGGCAGATGAGAGGCCTGGTGCACTCAGAGCCTAGCCCGAGGGAAAGCCACAGGGGCGGCCACGTGGGAGGGGAGAGACAGGAGGCCTGGAACTGCCACAGGGGACGGTGTCTGGGTGAAGGGCAGGAACTCAGGCTGGGCGGGGGGGCAGGCACTCGCAGCCTGGTGGCAGGGGGTGGACTAGCGGCTGGGTGGTGGTGTGCAGGCGAGGAACTCCCTAGCAGGGGCTCCACAGAAGAGCAGGGGTGAGGGGGGCCAGCAGGAGAGCACAGCCCCCAGGACACGAGAGGCTGGGGCACCCTAAGCAGGGGGCAGGTGGGCTGGGGCGGGAGGCGCTGGGCGGGAGGCAGCCTTCCCACACTCACTCTACACCCACATGACCTCTCTGATGGAGACAAGGCCATGCTGCCCAGGAAGGGGCAGAAATGCAGGTGCACCCAGTCCAGAGGCCTGAGAGGCCCCCATCGCCCTGCCCTGCTCAGACTGGCCCAGAAACTAGGAATCAGACCACAGACTCACCTTGAGCACCCTGACCACTCTCTGCCCCAGCAGCCTCCCCCCACCACCTGGGAGTGAGGGCCTGGGATGGGGGGGCAGAGCCAGGGGCGGGGAGAGCAACCACTTTGGGCCCCCAGCAGCCACAGGCCACTGTGGGCTTACTCTGGCTCCCCCACAGACTCCCACCAGATGCCACCTCCTCCAAGAGGCCCTCCTGGCCCATGGGTAGAAAGGCTGGGCCACCAGCAGGCCACACAGGCACAGCAGGGAACACACAGCTCCTGCCAGGGGTCAGGGCCAAATGTGGTGACCCCTTCAGGGCTCTTTCCAATGGACAGAGAACAGGGGTCATGTCATATGACGGCATCGGGGAGCCGCCGGCCACATCTCACCCTCCCATCAGCCGCCCCATGGGGGCCAGGGCCACAGCCTACAACCTCTGCTGGTTTCGTGAGGCCTGAGACCAGTCTTCACACTTCACGTGGTCTAAAAACATCAGAGGACTTTCACCACAGGAGAAAATGACACGAAACTGACATTTCAACAAGAAACGGAGTTCTACCAGCGCAGCCATGCCATTGGTTTATGCACAGTTCTTTGCGACAACAGCAGCGCTAAGTGGCTGTGACAGAGGCATGTGGCCCTCAAGGCCTCAGATATCTAGCCAGACTTTTAACAGAGAACATTCGCCCAGCCCTGTACAGAGCCGCCGACTCGGCCTCTCCAACTTCCAAAGGCAAGAAGCAAAGAGAACACAGGAGCCGCTGCTCTAGACCGAAGGCACTTCAGTAAAGACCAAACAGCCACACGCAGCAAGGGGGGCCTTGCCAGGTCTGGAGTCAGGCAAATCAGAGGACATGTGGGGAGAACAGGGTTCTCGAAATGGACAGGACTTGCATTTGCTGCCCAAGTGGACGTGCTCGTGGCTGGGACTCCGGCTGCAGCCCAAGACCCACACACCCCAGGGAGTGGGTGGCAGCAGCCAGGGCTGCACATGGAACAGGGGTCTAAGCGCGGCCTCACCCTGCACCCAAGTGGGCCCCGTGGCCAGACCAGGCAGTGTGGCCCACCTAGGACACCTCCAGACAGCCCCATAGCGGGGGGAGAGCTTGGGGCGCTTGGAGACAAGGGCCTATACGCCAAGCTGGGGAGGGGCCAGGTTGCAGGGACCCCACTCGACCACACCCATGAGGGTGGGGAAACCCAGGTGGACCCTACAGGGTCAAGTCCCCTGCCCTCTCCCTTCCCTCCTTGTGCCTAGGAGCCAGGTGCGTGAGCCTCGTGGAGGGTAAGGTTGTCACAGCTCAAACTCAGGGCCAGAGGGAAACTCCTGACTGCCAGGTGCCTGGTGTCCCGGCCCTTCGTGTCCTGCCAGCCTCTGGAGCCCAAGAAAGGCCCCGTCCCTGACCCCTGGGCACTAGCCATCTCCTGGCCACGTATGGTCCCCAACTCACAGCCTGGTTGGGGCTCCCAGACAACCAGAATATGGACAGATCCAATTTCTGGCACTTTCCAAAGGAGGGCTCCCAACACCTTGACAATCTGATAGCATCCTCCCATCAGAAAATGTTCCATATGCAGAGGCCAGACCCTCACTCCTGAGTGCACACCCACCCAAGGCCCCCAAGCCTGCCATGGGTCCCGCAGCAAGTGGGGTGGGCACCTTCCCACCCAGTCCCTGGCCCCGCCCCCACACTCACCTGCAGCATGAGTTCACAGTCATCGCGCCCCACAAAGATGAGCTCCCGTGGGAGCCGGTGGCGGGTGCCACTGCTGCTCACCAGGAACCAGGAGGTGACACTCATCTTGGCGCTGGCGAGGTCTGTCTGGCCCTGCAGGGGAAGGAATCATCAGAGCAGGGCTCCCCTGTCTGGGCCCGGGAGCCTGGACACACTGAAGGTCCAGTATGGGTTCTGTCCCTTTGGGGTCCAAGCACCTTCAGGGCCCCACTGCAGTGGCTGCTTCTAGAGATGCTGGGCTCCAGGCCAGCCCTTCCCTGAGTATACCTGTCAACCATGGACCCCATCCTAGGCCAAGGTCGCCTGGTCCCCCTTATGCTCTAGGCCCACACGTAACCTCTTCTCTCTTCCGGGTACCAGGGTTAGATGCGTGGACCCACCCATGTCCCCGTGACCTGACCAGGAACACCTCCCACGTGGGACTTAGCTTGGCCCATCAGGGTCCCCCAAGGCCAGGTCCATGCCCCAAGACAGATTCCAAACCAGAGGACCCCTTCCCTCAGCTGGACACCCCAGGTGGGCCTCAGCAGGAGGACAGGGAGGGAGCAGTCGGAGACCAGAGCCAGCAACCATCGACAAGCCTACCGCTGAGAGGTGGCCAAACATCCTTTGGTGGCCACCATGACCGCCCCGCAGACGCCCCCAGGCCAGGACAATGCCGGGTGGTCAGGGAATCAGGCAGCCCCTCCAGGGCCCACGAGGGAGGTGGCACTTTGGTTTCTGAGAGGCTGATATGGTCAGGATGGGCAGAGGAGCACCGTGGTGCAGTGGGAGCAACTGGAGTGACAACAAGGGACGATGTCATGCCGAGAGCAGGCCCTGGGGCAGCCTGAGGCCCCATGGAGCCAGTGGGCATGTGGTCTCACAGGTGCCCTGTCACTCAGAGCTGTGTCACTACGTCAGCACAGGTGTGCAGGCACCAAGTGTGTGGGCACACCTGTGCCACACACATATGCACACAGCATCCCCATACACCTATCACCTACAAGTGCCCTGGCTGCTTTGCATGTGCGCGTGCACACACACACACGGTAAACCATGTCCTGAGCTCTGCCAGGAGGGGTCTGATTAAGGAGGGTGGCCAGGGAAGATTTCCTGGGAGGGGGTGCGGGCGGAGGTGGGCACGTGAACAGCCAGGGCCACACTCCAAGCAGAGGGAACAGCCATTGCCAAGACACTGAGCCACCCAGGAGAGAGACGGGAGGCTCTGGAGGGCCCAGGCCAGGCTGCACCACTGAGGGGCTGAGTGAAGGAGGAAAACGCAGGGCACTTGTTCCAAAAGGATGAGAGATTTCACAAGAAGCAGCGCGCTGAAGCCGGCTTGGGGTCTGAGGGCAGGGCTGGGTGTGTGTCACACACCCTGGAGGCCGGCCCTGGAGGTCCTGCGGTGATGATCTGGCTCAGCGTCAGAAAAGACAGGAAGCCAGGCTGGAGACTAGTCAAGTGGTGAGATGATAACCAGGCAGAGACACAGGTGTGGGCACCCTGGCCAGAGAGAATGTGGGGCAGCCCCAGGCCCTGTCCCTGCAGTGCCCGCACCTAGAGGCCTCTTAGCCCAGGTCTCAAACCCCTTCTGGGTGACCAGTGGGCGAGGCCAACTCCAGGCCCCACCCATCTGGGAAGGCCCACGTAACCCATGGCAGACACAAGCAAGCAGGTGGGAAGATGTGGAAAAATCCACCCAGAAGACAGCCCCAGCCAGCCAGAACCCCCTCATCCTGGGACCCCCGCACTGCCTCCAGCCAGAAGGGCAGGCAAGGGAGGCCGAGGGGGCGGGGCCTTCCCTCGGAGGCCGCATCAGGGCAGCTGGAGGAGAGCCCCCACCCCACCATCATGCTCCCCAGCCCCCTTCCAACCCCCAGCCCAGACCCCACGTCCCACCCTCTGCCCTCACCTGTCCCCAGGTCTTGAGGAGCAGTTGGAGACCCCACCCAGAGGAGGCCACAGCCTCTGCTTGCGGCTGAGAGAGGCCAAACCCCCAGAGCCTGGTTATGCGGCTGTGCCAGAGCCAGGCGGCCCCTGCCACCGCCAGCCCATCCGGAAAAGGCCCAGGCCTAGAGTCGTAGACGCTCCCAAGCAGCCTGCGGCCGGGCCGGGGCTGGGCTGGCCCTGGTTGCCAGGACGGAGAACAATAAATACCCGAAACTTGTCCTCTCGGCCGCCCCAGCCAGAAGGGCCACCCGCCTGGAGGTGAGGGGAGGTGGAGTCGCCCGGGGCAGGAGCTGGGAGCCGCCAGCTTGGGGAAGGAGAAGGGATGGAGGCAGGGGCTGGGAGGGGCAGGGAGCGACGGCGGGGCTGCGGGCGGACAGGCGGCTGGAAGAGGCAGACGGAACGGAGGCCGGGGACAGGCCGGGAGAGGAGGCAGGGACAGCGGAGAGGCGGCGGCGAAGGGAAACGAGGAGAGAGGGAGGAGGAGGAGGAAGACGGAGGGAGGGATCGCGGGAGGAGAGACCAGGCCGGGAGGCGGCCGGGCGGGAGTGCCGGGCCCGGAGGGGGAGGGAGCGGCGCCTTCTCCTGAATCAGCGCTCGCCGGGGGCGGCCATGGCCAAGCCGGTGCCTGGGCGGGGACCCCAGCGCCCCGGCCTGCGCCGCCTCTCCGGGCCGCATAGACGCGCGCCGCGCGGCCCCTCCCGGCCTGGCGCAGACCTGGGCCGCCTCCGCCGCGGCGGGGACCGGCCTGCCCAGGTGCGC